AGTTCATTTTTCTGCCACGTGTGAATAGATGATATAAAAATGTATTGTTTGTTGTTGTTATGTGCCATCAAGTCGCTTGCAACTCATAGCGACCCTATGTACAACAGCCCTAAACTCTGCTCTGTCCTGTGCCAATCGCACCATCTCCGATACACCCATCCCGGTTACCCCAGTCACTGAATCAGTTCATAGAGGGCCTTCCCCTCCTGCGCTGTCCCTCCACCCTCCCAAGCATGATGTCCCTCTCCAAGGACCGGTCCCTCCTTACAACATGTCCAAAATACGTTAGACGGAGCCTCAGAATCCTTGCCTCCAAGGAGTCACCCGGTTTGACCCTTTCCAGGATGAATATTTTAGTTAAATTTAGTTAATTTTAGTAAATCTTAAATTTATTGAAAACATGCCATTGACAAAAAATACCCGTGTATTTCTAATCGATTTACATCTGAGCACCTGAGTCCTGGTGAAGAGGTGGTCGGTCATGCCATTATGACCTTAGTCTCTAAAAGCTGGTAGTATTATTCCATTATACGTCAGCTCCACCATAATGAAGATCAGTGGTGCCCTTTAGTGTCACTGGGTGGAGATTTGGCTATGTTCTTATTAATGGGACCATGTAGTCCTTAAAACTAGTCTACTTAACTATTTCATTAAAATGAATTTTGGAAGAAAAGAGAGGATAAAAATTCAAGTGAAGGAAATAGTAATGAACAGTAAGGGTTCACTTAGATATTGTGGTAAGTTAATTGCATCAATTAATGGTAATTATTGCCTAGGGATGATTGAAGGGGAAAAACCCCAATAAAATTTGTGATGTCTTACTTAAACAAAATAATCTTTTTAAAATGTTAAATTTTAATACAGATTTTATTTTATTAGTACTTCAAAGTATTTTCTATTCTAAAATACTCAATAACTTTAAAAAAACTACCACACTTCATTTGTTTAGATAATGAACACTGCACTGGAATGGGTGAAAGGAAGGACATTCTGAAAGGAATCGACAATTAGAAACCACATGTGTAACAGTTAATAGCCTTACAGGTGGAATTGGGGAAGGCAGCGGCAGGGAAGTGTGTGTGAATGAAAAAATGATAATAAAAAAATCAGACAAAATTTTTACTTCAGTTTAATGAATGCTTCTTATTTTCTTCTGTAACGTCAAGCAACATTAAACTCAGACTCATTGCCATCAGGTCAGAAACAACTCATAGCTGACCCTCCAGTCAGATTCTGAGGCTGCAGGATCTCACAGGGGGAGACTGCCCATCTTTCTCTCTCTGAACCACTGGTGAGTTAGAACCCCCAGAGAGTCGTGGCTGACATGTTCCAGGACAAACGCCCCGTGGACACCACTACCCGAACTCCCTGTGAAGCCACGTTGTTGTAAGTTGTTGTGTGCCGTCAAGTCACCTGCTACCCTAAGTACAGCAGCTCTGAAGCCCGCCCTGTCCTGAGCCTGTCTTGCTGACTCCGATATACCTACTCTCATTGCCCCAGTCACTGTGTTAATCCATCTCATCCAGGGTCTTCCTCTCCTGCACTGTCCCTCCACCCTTCCAAGTGTGATGTCCTTCTCCAAGGACTGGTCCCTACTGGCCGTGTGCCCAAAGTATGTGAGGCAGAGCTTCAAAATCCTAACCTCCCGGAAGAAACTTTGTTTAACCCTCTCTAAGACAGACCTATTTGTTTCTTGGTAGTCCGTATGTACAAGACTCTTCTCCAGCACCACGTTACCGTCTCCTTAAATAGCCATAGATGAGACTTCTTGACTGTGGTGGATTTACTGCTGCTGACTCGATGCTCAGAGGCACACTATGATTTGTAGTGATTCTATTAATTGTGTAGGGTTTTTTCTCAGATCTTTAATCTTTCCCCTTCACTCCACTCTTCCCTACTACCCACTTTCTACAATGTTCTCAGAGACTGAGTTCAGTTTCCCCCCAGAATTCTCTACAGAGCTCTAATTCTAACCATGATTGATCTGTATGTCAGCATGTCCATCCTGTTATTCGTTCAGCAGTTTTTAAATTGCTGACTACACTTTCCTAAACTGTAAATTTGCTGTCAAGGATCTCTTTAAAGTACTAACGAGCAAGTGTGTCTGTTTGAAGACTAAGGAATGCCTGATGCATGCTTTGGTATTTTCAGTTGCTTTATATGCATGAGAAAGAGGAGTGAAGGAGAATTGATGCCTTTGCATTGTGGTGTTGGTGAAGAGTGCTGAGTATACTGTGTACCAGCAAAAGAGCAAGCACCTCTGTGTTGGAGGAAACGCAACCAGGGTGCTGCATAGAGCAAAGATGGTGAAATTCCTCTCATACTGTCTGCATGTTATCAGAAGGGGCCAGTCACTGGAAAGACATCATGCTAGTAAAGGGGGACAGGTCTAGGGAAGAGATGGTGACCCTCGAGGAAATGCATTGACCACAGTGACTGTAGCAGTGAACTTGAGCCTGTCACAGATGGTGAGGAAGACGCAGCATAGGGCAAGGCTCTTTTGTTTTGTTTAATTTTCTATTAGTTTATTTGCAAAACTCAAATATATTGTTTTATTTTTTTAAATATTTTTTATTTTTTATTATTTTTTTGTGTGTACCGTCAAATCAGATCTGACTGGTACAGGAGGAGATTGTGCCTCCTTCTCCAGCAGAGCATCTGGTGGATTCAAACCATGCACCTCTTGGATTGCAGTGCAGCTTCTTGCCACTAGGCCACCAGAGCTCGTCGAATACATTGTTTTCAAGAACAGATTCTTTCCATTTCCCTCACACCCCCCATCAAATTGTACAACCCCATGATTAAGCCCCCCCTCCCTGTGCACATCTTCATCCCTCTGCTTCCACCCTCTCCCATCCCCCTTGGATCCTTACACTCATTCTACAATAGTGGATTTATACAATATTTATCCTTGTGGGACTGAGTTCACTCAGCATAATGCTCTCTAGTCCCTCCCAAGTTAGGTAATAACTTACAAAGTAATTTCTGCGTGCTGCATAATATTCCATTGTGTGAATGTACCACAATTTCTCAGTCCATTCATTTGTGGTTGGACATTTGGGCTGTTTCCATGTTCTTGCAATGGTGAATAATGCTGCTATGAACATTGGTGTACAGATAGGGTGGTTATGAGTCATAGTAGACTCATCAGCACTTAGCAACAACCACAACTTCAGAGTACTGTGCTAGGTACGGCACAGCAAAACGAAACAGAGAAAAATTTCTACCTAAACTTGAAACTTAGATTGGCTACTGCAGCTGCGATGCTAACTTTGAAGATTAATATGTATTAGTCTCCCAGGGCAATACATTTTCCACTTCCAAAAATAAAACCATTATTGTTTGTGCAATGCTGCTGAAAGAATGAAAAGCCAGTTGCCAAGATACTCCTTTCTGTAGGTCGTCTACACGGAAAGAAAGAGAAGCAGTAGCTAGACATGGGTCTTTATTCTCTAGTTAAAGTTACTTCTAGGGTCTAGAAAAAGTTTGTATTTACATGTTTGTCTGATTGTGTCATTTATTTTCTCTGCTATAGTAACTCATGCTTCATACTGTTTTCCTTCGTATCTCTCCTTGTGTAACCATCAAAAGAATTTGAACTTTTTAATACTTTGATGCCTGCCCAGTTCATCGTCAAGAAACTGACCTCGCCCAGGTCATCTTTTGGGGTCACTGGCTAAGGTAGTCCATGTGGCTGCCTTCTCAGTGCCCCAGGCAGTTGTCCCTGTCCCAGGTCTCTGAAGCCAGCAGCCCCAGAGTGTCGGCATGTTTTTGAGCCTGTTGGTTCCCGCTCTTTTCAGTGTCAGTGATGTTGTTGTTATGTGCTATCACATCTTCTGTGCATAACAGCTCTGAGCCCTGTCCTGTCAGGAGCCAGTATCATGGACTCTCACACACATACTCTCATTGCCCCAGTTACTGTGTCAATCCATCTCATTTCGGGTCTTCTTCTCTTGTGCTGTCCCTCCACCCTCTCAAGCATGGTGTCCTTCTCCAAGGACCAGTCCCTCCTGGCCACGTGTCCAAAGTATGTGAGATGGAGTTTCAAAATCCTGGCTTCTACAGGAAAACTTGGCCTCACCCTCTCCAGGACAAATATATGTTCAGTACTCTTCGCTAGTACCAGAACTCAAAGGCATCACTTTTTCTTCTGCCATTCCTAGTCGTTGTTCAGCTCTCTGATGCAGAGCCAGTAATTATGAAGACCATGGCCTGGATCAGGCACACCTTAGTCTTTAAACTGATATCTTTGCTGTCCAGCACTCTGGAGAGGTTCCTGACAGCACGTCTTCCTAATGCAGTTTGTCTTTTCATTTCCTGATGGATGGTGCCACGAGTCTTGATTGTGGAACTGAGCAAGCAGAAATATTATCAGTCTCAATCTCTTCTCCATTTATCATGGTGCTGTAAATTGGCCTAGTGGTGAGAATTGTTGTTTTTTTGATGTTGAGAATCCACATTGAAGATTGTATTCTTTCACCTTGTGCAGCAAACACTTCAGGTCCTCTTCCGTTTTGGTAAGCAAGGTTGTGTCATTAAAACTTACCTTCATTAGTGACCCGATAGAATTTCCTTGGTTTTCTATCTCAGATCTCAGGTTTTATAACTTTTATGAAAAGAAATAGAATGGCTCTTAATGCCTTAATTCTTTTAAGAATATAATTGCTTGTGGGAATAAATACCAGTTTCATTTCATATTATTTCTTTTTCCATATGCTTGAAAATCTTGGTTGTATTGTAAACCTAAGGTTGGAAGGAACCCTTAGCTTTGTTCTTGTTTGTTCTGTTTGTTTCTGTCTTAACCTATGGTGTTTTCCCTTCTTGCCCTTTATTTTAATGGCCTTCTTCTGCTTCTCAAGAACTCACACAGCAGCATTAATTGTAGACAATGGGGGATAGATCTGAGCTTAAGCACATTAGGAGCGATGATGATGTTGAGGGAGTAAGAAGAGGAAATGAAGGAAGATAATGACAGCTTTGTGTTTTTTCCTTCTCCTTAGCGTTCCCGTCCACTCTCTGCTAGTGATGCTGAAATGAAGAACCTTGTGGGCTCTGCCCGTGAGAAGGTGGCTGGGAAGTTAGGTGGCTCTGTGCTTGGTCTGTCAATGGAGGAGGTAAAGAAAACAGTACCTGAGGCCTTTGGGGGCTAACACAGGCCTCAGTGAAATAGATGAGTCATAATGTTAGTGGCAGGCTCGTTCCTAACACTGAGAGGGAAACATTCCATCTCTGAAAACAACATTTAAATTGCATTGGTTTCTCTTCCTCTGTCCACTGTAACCATATTGTTGTTGTGCACTGTTGAGTCGAAACTGACCCATAGCTGACACTCCAGTGGGTTTTCAGTGGCAGTTAATTGGATGGGAGGAGATTGCCCCTCCTTCTCCTGCAGAGCAGCTGGTGGGATTCAAACCACATGCCTTTGAGATTGCAGCGCAAATTCTTGCCACTAGGCCACCAGAGCTCCCTACCCATATGGATTCTAATTTTCAAAACAGGTAATCAATTTATCTTTTCCAATCTAGATCAAAGTTTTACGCCGGGTCAAGGAGGAGAATGATCGTAGAGGTGGATTTATTCGCATATTCCCTACTTCAGAGACATGGGAAATATATGGGTGAGGTGACTACTCTTATTTTATTTTTATTGTTTTTCAGTCTGTACCAGGAGGCCCAGAATTGAACTGTGACACCCAGTTACTGTTTATCTCTGTGTGATACTATTTTTGTTTTGTTTATAATATAACTATCTGTCAACCCATGAATTAGAGCATTCAGAATCAGTTAATCTACTTATCTGTTTCTCCCTTTTAAAAAAATTTCTTTTCCTCCACCTAGCTTGTTTTCCAGCTCATGATTAGATACTATCTTTGATTTTTTATTTTTAAGGTATAAAAAAATAAAAAAGCTTTATTAGAAAGTTCATCCCGGCAAGCTCTGGTGGCCTAGTGGCAAGAAGCTGCACTGCAATCCCAGAGGCGTGTGATTCAAATCCACCAGATGCTCTTGCTGAAGAAGGAGGGACAGTCTCCTCCTGTACGAGTCATATTTGATGGTACACACACACACACACACACACACACACACAATAATAAAAAAAAAGTCCCAAAGGGTTGGACCTTCCTCCTTGAAAAGGAGTACAATTTATTATTAAGATGGAATAAAATTTTATAGCAAACAACATTGTATCGAAAAAATGCTTTGTTTACTCTTTTTGTCAACTCTGAAATCTCGTTTACACACATTACAGTAAGTTTTGATTAAAGTTTGATAATGAGTTTCGACACATATAAATTCTAACTTAACCACTACAGTAAACACGAAGAAGACTCCTGTCACCTCCATAGGTCCCCTTAGGCCCTTGTACAACCAGAGGCTTTCTCCGACTACCACCTCGTAATTCCAGGCCTACCATACACAGTCAACACTCTTGGCACCAGCAGCCAGGAAATGAAAAGACGTATTGTGATGGGAAAGTCTGCTGTTAGGGACCTCTCCAAAGTACTGAAGAGCAATGGTGTCACTCTGGAGACTAAGGTGTGTCTGATACAGGCCATGGTCTTTGCAGTCACTTGTTATGCATCAGAGAGTTGGACAATGACTAGGGAGGATAGAAGAAGAATTGATGCCTTTGAGCTGTGGTGCTGGAGAAGAATATTGAGTATATCATGGAGTGCTAAGAAAATGAACAGGTTCAACCAGGCTGCTCCTTGGAGACAAGGATTCTGGGGGTTCATCTGACATACTTTGGACATGTTGTAAGAAGGGACCGGTCCTTGGAGTGGGACATCATGCTAGGGAGGGTGGAGGGACGGCGCAGGAGGGGAAGGCCCTCTGTGAGATGGATTGATTCAGTGACTGGGGTAATCAGGATGGGTGTGTCAGAGGCAGTGCTATTGGCACAGGATAGAGCAGGGTTTAAGGCTGTTGTACATAGGGTCGCTATGAGTTGCAAGTGACTTGATGGCACGTAACACCAACACCACCACCACCACCATAGTACTGATCTCTCCACCACTATTGATTAGTTTTTCTGGAATTTTCTAGAATAAATAGAATTGTTCATTGAATCCTTTTGTTCAACATAATATTTTTTAAATTCATCTATGTTGTTGCATAAAATAGTAGTTTCTTAATAATGTCTTATGTCATTATATGAGTACACTGCCATTTACTTATTGTTCACATCTTGGGGGACATTTGTTGTCATTTGCCATCTGTTTCACTCCAACTCCTTCCTAGCAATCTTGCTTTTAGCAGCTCTAAACCTTGCCTGAACTTGGACCGTCCTCCCAGCCTCCGCTGTGATCAAGCCCAGTTTTGCAATCACTGTGCCAGTACATTTCATTAAGGGGCTTCCTCTCCTCTGAACCTCTACCTTTGCCTTTCCTAACAGGAAGGATTTTCCTAAGGACTGAACCCTCCTGACAACATGCCCAAAGAATGTGCCTTTAAAGAACATTCCAGGTGAACATCTTCTAAGACAGACTGGTTCTTTTGATCGCTCCTGGCATATTCGTTACTCTTTGCCAACAGCACAATTCAAAAGCATCTTTTCTTCCTAAATCTTCCTTATTCATTGTCCAGATTTCATGTGAACATGTTTAGGTGTCATCAAATAGGCTAAGACTCATAGAAAACTTTGAACGGCTGATTGAAACCTTGGCCTCTCCAGTACTGTCCTTGGACTCTCCCCGTGCCCAAGCTCGTTGTTGCTGTCACGTGCACATGAAGCAGTTGAAAATGCTGTAACTTGGATCGGTTGCACTTTAGTCTTTCAAGTGCCGTTCTTACTCTTTAGTCCTTTAAGGAGGTCCTTGGTCCCAGATTTGCCCACTGAAGTAAGAGATGTTGTTATATACCATTGACCTGGAATCAACTCATGGTTAAACCTCTAGTGGAGGTTGCTGGCGGTTTTTTTAGGGTAAAGTTGTAAAGATAGATTTATTAGAAAGTTATATCCCCAAAGGGATGGACCTCCCAGTAAGGAAATACAGAGGGGAGGCCTCCAGAGGCTGTAAATTACACAGGAGGTGGCTGCCCATCTTTCGCCCACTGACCAGCTGGTGTATTCGAACTGGCCATCTTGGAGCTGGCCGCACAGCTTCTTAACCACGAAGATTCATAAATGAGCTGACTCATAGCTGAGCAGGCAGCGGGTTTTCAGAGCTGGAAATCGCACAGGAGGAGATTGCTCATTTTTGTCTCGCGTAGCAACTGCTTGATTCAAACTGCCTACCTTTGGGCTGGCAGCACAGCTCCATTGACTAGACTGCTGTTGTTTATCATCAAGTTGGAACCAACCCCTGGCTGATCCTCTGGTGGGTTTTCAGAGGCAGGTAATCGCTTGGGAGGAGATCCCCCATCCTTCTCCCATGGAGCACATAGTGGATTCGAACAGTATACCTTCGGCATTGCAGTACAGCTTCTTGCCATTAGGTCATCAGAGCTCCCTTCTAGAGCTCCCTGATTTTATCTAGTTGCATGCAAATGCACTTCCAGACTCATACTGAAATGGCAGTGTATAGGCAACGTTGGACTGTGCCACGCTGAGACAGTACCTGAACCTAAAGAAGTGACAGTGGATGTGTGTCTTGTGAAGAAGTTGTTTCTCAAGAGAAAGAAGGGAGGTGTTTTAACCAGGGTAGGTTTCTTTTTCTTTTTCTTTTTTTTTTTATTTTATTATTTTTGTGTGAGTGTACCGTCAAATCAGGTCTGACTGGTACAGGAGGAGATTGTCCCTCCTTCCCTGGCAGAGCATCTGGTGGATTTTAACCGTGCGCCGCTGGGATTGTAGTTGCAGCTCCTTGCCACTAGGCCACCAGAGCTCCCCCGTAGGTTTCTTTTTCATAAATTATGAAGCCATTCTGAGAAGAGAGGCAAGGAGAAACCAAGAACATGAAACTAATGCAGTTGCCACCAGTTAGTATGAAGATGTTTACTGATAAATATGCCATTTGATTAATACATGTTTATTGATGAATACATGTATTAATGCATGTTTATTATCAACCACATTGCAAGGTTTTAGCACTCTGTATGGTGCTTTGAAGAATTACATGAGATCCTGTTCTTTGAAAGCTGTTGTTGTTGTTATTGTTAGGTGCTTTCTAGTTGGCTACAACTCCTAGCAAGCAGTAGAGGTACACTGTGCCCTGTACTGTGCCATCCTCAGCATCCCTGGTGGATTTGATCCCATGGTGACAGTCACAGTGTTGGTCCATCTTGCTGAGAGTCTCCCCTCTTTCCCTCACCCTCCACCTTTCCAAGCTTGGTATTTTTTTTCCAAGGACTGACCTCTCCTAACAGCATGCCCAAAGAGTTAGCAGTACGATTATAAAGAAATTACTTCTGTATAAAAGAAAAAATGGTACATATTTTTATTGCCTTTTGTAATTTAAAAAGTGCTTGTATACATCATTGCTGTCTTTTCATTTTAATGATAAAGTGAAGGAAGGTCCAGTAAGATGGTATGATTTGCCCAGGATCACATACTAAGACTTCATTTAATTTCTGACTTTAAGTCCAATTTTCCCCTGCTCCCTGTGAGCAGGTATAATGTACGTACATACATACGTACGTGTGTGTGTGTACACATGCACACATCAAGTATACATACAGTGGACTAGTGGAGTTCAGGCAAGGATGCCTTCCTGGCAGCTTGGAGCATTCACACTTGGGAAGGCTTCATGAAGCAGAGTGAAATCAATCCCACCTCATTACCATCAACTTGATTTTGACTCAGAGTAACCCTATAGGCCACAGTACGCTCTCCCATGGTGTTTCCAAAATGTAGTCTTTGCAGATTATCCAGCATTGAACAATCAGAAGAGACAATTCCGCCTCCTGCACAGGCCTTAAGAAGCCGATGAATTCTCCTCAGTGGAGAAGTATTGTTATTGTTGATGCCCATCCATCGGGTTTAGACTAATGGTAGCCTTACGTGTAGCAGTAGACACTGCCTGGTCCTGCGCCATCTCCATCGTCTTTCAGCCTGTCATAGCATCTCCTTGCTCAATCCATCCCCTTGAAGGTTTCACTCATTTTATCTGACTTTTCCAAACATGATGGTGTCCTTTCTGTTGATTGATCTCTTCCAAATCATGTCACCAAGCAAGCAAGCAAGCTTAACTGAGGAATAACAACACAATTGAACCCGTCTACTATCTCTATTTTCAAGGTCTTCATGCATTCCTGTATTGGCTTGAATTTAAGCCCTTTCCACAGCAACACAGGGCACTTTAGTCATGATTTTTATCTTTGTCTTTGGATTTTTATACTCTGCATTTATTTTTTATTAATCTGAGACTTCTTGCTTTATCTTCTTTTCTACATTAACTCTTCTGTTTCTTTTGTTCTTTTCTCTTTATGCGCTATGCTCGGTGTTTTATTAATTTGACTTGAGTCAGTATCTGTTGCTTTGCCGCACATTTTCGAAATAGCTCTGTGAATCACCTGTCACATCAGTGCTTGATTCGTGGTCTTGTTTCTCTATTTTCCTCCTGAAGTGAGCTAACCACCAGTTCTTTCTGTGTCTTTCAGGTCCTACCTGGAACACAAGACCTCCATGAACTATATGTTGGCAACACGTCTCTTCCAGGACAGGTAAGGGTTTGCTGGTCTCATGGATGTGCTAGAACTCTGACAAGATCATGGGGAAATGCGCATGAAGAAGAAAGAGAGAGGCTTTAAGAAAGTCTTCATGTGAAATCTCTGTTAGAAAAGGCCTTGCCATAAACACAGACTCTCTTCTTTGTTTAGTCTTAATCTATCATTAACTCTCAACATTTTGTACCAAACAAAGAGTTAAACTATAAAGATATTTGAGTAATCTCAAGAGTCAGCCTCAGTTTAGTTTTAAAGAAGGCTATGACCAAGTTTTGGTTTTTGTTTGGGTTTTTTTTTTGTATAGACACGGTTTTCACAAGCATGATTATCTTTTTTGTTTGTTTTGGATTTTGGTTGAAAGAGATTATGATGGTTGGATTAGGAAAGGTGGAAGGGAAGAAACTCACAATATAGAGACACTTAGTGTTATAAGAAACAGTGACTTATATTTTTTTAATATAAGAGAAAGTAGTGAGAAGCAGTAGAAAACAGGCTTTGACATCCAAATAGCATAGCCGTCAGGGATTGATTTCAACCCACACCCTTTGGTAGTCCCAGAGCCATGACTACATTAGTTCTCTTCTGTAACTGATTATCAGAATGAAGCATCCAACTATTCAAGAGATATCTATTGTGTCTGTAATGTCTGCTTTTGTGAAGGATTCTTCAAATAGGTACTCAAGTTTCATGATCAGGAAATACAGGGAATTTATAATTTCTTTATATTATTTTGTGATAATTGCCTGGAGGTTAAGTAATTACATGTGTTGTTTCTAATGGAAAAAGTTTTTACATTTTAAAATCTCAGTTTTAAAAAATGTATAATGACTATCTGCACCCCTGCCTGATCCCGTGCCCCCAAACTTGAACAACTTTTCTTTTTGTTTCATTGGGTTATTTTTTAGAATGTGTTCTAGTGTGTCACTTTTGATTATTTTGGTTTTAAAATGAGCGGATCAGTACTCTGTGATTATATCAGAGTGCTTTGTAAGAAATTTTAAGACTCTGCGTCAGAAATTTTAATATTTTAAGACTTTGAAAGGAGTTTGTGCCGAACTAGAGGAAGCAATTACCTGAGTGGGAAAAAAACCAAACTTTCTTGAGACTTTCTGATCATGAAGTGACAATATAAGAACATTAGCATGGAAAGAAGACGAGAAGAGCAAAGATATGTTGGTGAATACTACTAATTTTGACTTGACTTTTTTCGATGAAATCTGCTTCTATCTCTGATTCCATTGAAATAGAACTTTTTAAATTATAAGCCTACATTAGTGGAGAACTAAATATATACATGAAAATGAAATGATGTCAAAAGTTTCAAAAGAAAATAACAAGTCAGTGTAGCAAAAAGACTCAGTTGGTGTATAAGCATTCCCGGACGTATCTTTTGATCAAGAATGGAAGATGCTGAAAAAAGAAGTCAGCACTAAAGTCACTGCCATAAAACGAGGTTCTGAGAGTTGAATCAGCACCAGTAGAGACGTTTCAGTGGCTAAGTCATGGAGGTGCTCACTATGTCAAGACATCTGGATGAGGCTGTCTGGCCAGTTGACTGGAAGAGATCCGTATTTGTGTTCATTCTAAAAAGAGGTAATACAACTGAATATGAAAACTGTCAAGCAAAGTCACTAATATCACATGCAAGCATGTATGTTGTACATGAACATGGAATTGCTAGAAACTCAAGAAGAATTCCAAATAGGTCATGGCACTAGTATTACCATGGCTGATGTCAGATGGCTCTTGATGGGAAGCAGAGAATACCAAGATGGTTATCTAAGTTTTATTCATCACACAAAGGCTTTTGACTGTGTAAACAATAAATTGTAGATAACACTTGGAAGAATAGAGATTTCAGAACATTTCATTGTCATCATGCACAACCCTGTGAGCAAGAAGCAACTGATCAGTCAGGACAAGGGAATGTGTGTGGTTTAATACTGCCTAGTGCCACTGTTGTAAAGCAGGACTGACATCGGGGTTGGGAGGAACTAAGAAAAAAGGTGGTAAATAGTGTATACTGCTTTGAAACAGGTGAGGGAGAGACTGTTTAGGAGGAATATATGGTTAGATATTATTGTCATGACAATAGTGGCTGCATAGTGGAGTGGACTGGGGGGATTGTATAACAGTGAAAGATTTTTTTCTTACTTTTCAAAGAGAAAAGTGAACTGGGGCAGGAGGAGAGGTGGGAAGGGAGGGAAGTGTGCAACAAGGAATGAATGGAAATACAAAGTCTCTGTAAACTTTTATTACAATTATTTAAAAATTTTAATAAGAAGAAAAATATCAGCAAAGGTTGAATGTTAGGCTCTGTTGTATCCTTTCACTCCGCATATTCAAGCTGTAAGCTTAGTTCAGAAAGTTGTGCTTTATGTAAAATAACATGGTGTGAGTGTTACACAAAGACTCATTGACAACCTGCAATATGAAGATGATAGAGTCTTGCTTGGCCAAAAATGGAGAGGACTTACAGCACTTACTAAGGAAGCCTTTAGTATAAATTATACCTCAATATAAAGAAAATTGACTCCTGGTGGCCTGGCCTAGTGGCAAGAAGCTACGCTGCAGTCTTGAAGGTACGTAGTTCAAGGCCACCAGCTACTCTGCAGAAGGATGGGCAGTCTTCTGTGTGATTAACTGCCTCTGAAATCCTGCTAGAGAGTCAACTATGTGTAGGTTCCAACTCTACAGTACACAACAACAACATAAAATTAAATCTTCACAGTGAGATCAATAAACAAACATGACAAACGGGGAAAATATATTGGCATTGTTAACGGATTTTATTTTACTGGGATCTATATTCAGTGCCCATGGAGAAAGCAATCAAGAAATTAAACAAGTTACATTGGACATGTCTGCTGCCAAAGGCCTCTTTAAAGGTTTCAAAAATAGAGATAACAGCCTGAGGATTAAGAGACACTTGGCCCAAGACATTGTATTTTTAGTTGCCTCACATACGTGCAAAGTTTGGACAGTCAACAGAGGGGACAAAAGAAGACACCATTGAATTTTGGTGTTTGCAAAAACCCTTAAATACCATGAAATGCCAAAAAAATGAACCAATCTGTCTTGGAAGTAGAGCCCAAATGATCCTTAGAAACAAGGATGGTGAGCCTGTGTCTCATTTTGGACATGTGATGCAGAGGGGTCAATCCTTGGTAAGAGACAGAATTTTTAACAAAGTATAGAGTCCGAGAGAAAGAAGTCCCTCAATGAGAGATACTGCAACCATCCCTTCAAACAAGCAGCAGTTGTGAGATGGCACAGAATGAGTTTTATTCTGTTGTATATAGATTGGTATAAGTTAGAACCAATTTGATATCACCCAGTAACAGTAAACATACAGTCCTCAATTTCAGCAAGCAAAGCTGTGTCATCTGCATGACGCAGGTTACTGATGAGTCTCCCTCCGATTCTGATGCCACAGTCCTCCTCATAGAGTCTAGCCTCTTGAATAATTTGCTCAGCATACCGATTGTCTAGGTATGAAGAGAGAATACAATCCTGACACACTCCCTAATTCTAAACCATGTAGTGCTCCCTGCTCTGTTCGCATAGCAGCCTTCTGGTCCAGATATAGATTTCACATGAGCACAGTTGAGTGCTCCGGGGCTCCCATTCTTCTCAATGTCAGCCACAACTTGTTATGATCCACAGAGTCATGCTGACTTTGCATTGTCATTAAAGCACAAATAGACATTTTTCTGTATTCTTTACTGACATCAGCAATGATATCCCTGGTGCCATGGCCCCTCCTAACTCCTCTTTGAACTTCTGGCAGTTCCCTCTCTATGCACTACTATTCTAGCCATTTTTGAATGATGTTCAGCAGTATTTTGCTTGCATGTGGTATTAATGATATTATTCAATAGTTTCCACATTCTGTTGGATCACCTTTCTTGGGAATGGAAACAAATATAGGCCTCTTCAATCTATTGGCCAGACAACTGCTCTCCAAATTTCCTAGCATAGACTGCTGAGCGCATCCAGGGTTGTATCTTTTAATTGAAACAACTCAGTCAGTATCCCATCCATTCCTGGGGCCTTACTTTTAGCCAAAGGCTTCAATGCAACTTCTCTTTCCTCCTTCATTACCATTGGCTCCTGCGCATATGGTTATGTCCTGAGATTTTTTTCAGTGTCAATCAGTTCTTTTTGGTATAGGGATGCTGTATGTTCCCTCCATCTTCTTTTGCTGCTTTCTGAGTCATTCAGTATATTACCCATAGCATCTTTCAATATTGTGACTCAAGGTTTATATTGAAGGGTGGGGGAGGAATGTTAAATGAAGGGAAATTAAAGAATTGCATGAGGAGAGAATGTGTTAAAAGGATCAAAATTAAAAAACCAAACAGCACACCCCCTTTAGACATGAGTAGTGCTCAGTTCTTAAGGTTAGGTCCCACCTCTAGTGTAGAGGCCATAAAAGTCATGCCTTTAAAAATATTTAATTATGGGAAATCTATTCCTTTTGAACATTTTTTGTTGTTTTGGGTTTTTTTTTAACTATGAGAATTAAGGTTGATTTGCAGTACAATTTCATAAAATTAGAGCACTTGAGGCTGAGAGCTAGTAAGCCATTAGGTTACGTTTTTAAACTCATGAAAGTGTGACATTGAACATGTTACAAGATCTTAAACTTTTTTAAAAAAATAAAGGTAATGCTTTCTTTCCATGATTGTTGTGAGAAATAAGCATGACTTGCTTTATAACTAAATAGGCAAATGCAGGTGATTGCCAGCACTGTTTCCCTAGATCTCATTTAACTTTATCTTTTCTTTTCTATTGACCTTTTCCCCAGGTCACAATATAGGCCTACCCTGTTCCCTGTGTTCTCAGTAAAGCTCATCATTGCTGCTTTTCAAAAATGTCCTCTTGGTCTAGATTCATATTGAATTCTTAAAGTAAAACTTTTAAGACTATGTATATATGTGTTTGTGTGTGTGAATTCAAGGGAGAATACCTGAGCCACATTTTCTAACTGTCAT